AAGCGTCTTTCGTTTAGACCATGGGCGTCAAACATACGGCCCGGGGGCCAGATCCGGCCCTCCAAGACCTTTAATCTGACCCTCGGCTGATTTTCTACTAAAATATTTAAAGATATTTCCTATTAAAATCTTGTTAATTTTCTGTGGTGTTTATCACAGCAGCGTCTCCAGCGTCTCTGTACGTGGCCCCTCCCACCAGAGCAGCACAAATGAAGACTTGTCTCTTTCCAAACGCTCTTAAAGGACGATCGTTTTGACTGTTGACCGTGACACCCTCATCAGAAAAATGTCCAACATGAGAAAAGTGGAAGCCGAGTGCAGGATTTTACAACAAAAATGGATTTATTCCTATTTACAGACAAGTTCATGTTAAAACTTTGTGTTTTTCTTTAAGAAAAATAAAATTTTAGCTTTAAGTTTCAGGTTGATCATCATATTATAATATTTTGTAAAAGAAAGAGTTCATCAATTAAAAAAGATTTCTGTAATAGATTTGTGTTTCTCTGCACAAATTTTTGGGGTTTATATGACATGAGTTTTCTGATCCGGACACTTTGGGATCAAAGTAAGTCGGATACGGCAGGCATGCACCCTGATAGCGGCAGGAATAAACTTTTATTCATCATGGAGATACAGCGCGTTCAGCCGCATGTGTTGGACCCGGAGTCGGACGAGGACTTTGAGAAGCACGAAGCTCAAGCACCGCGTCCACATCAACTGAACATTACTGATTGGTAAAGTTTTAATAAACACTAGGAGATAAACTGAGGGGGGCGGGTGTGAAGCGTTTTTCTGCTACGTCAAATGCGTCATAGGTGAATCTGCCGGTTACACCCTTATCATCAGAAAGCCCACTAGTCAGAAAGCCCACTAGTCAGAAAGCCCACTAGTCAGAAAGGTCCCACTAGTCAGAAAATCATTACCTCTTCTCTTGGTTTGTCGGCAACATTTCTCTTGAACAATTGAATATATATTTGATGAAAGCAACAGGGAATAATCCCTGGATATCAGGGAAAAATTAGTAAACTTTTGGATGTTTACCGATTAAAAATGGCTGCACCATCAAAATTTTTAGAGATATTGACAGGAAAATGCATAATCATGCATAACAGCATTAGCTAAGACCAACATGACTTAATTTGTTGGTTTACAAACCCACCAATGCTATAATAAAAGAAAAATAATTAAAATAAAATTGAAACATTTTGCAAGTTGTTGCCAGAAAATCAGACAATTCTTAACCCTGTTCCACTTAAGACAGACATTTCCACCCAAATCATTATTTCCTCAAACATTTTTACTGTATTTTAAGGGTTTAATATGTTTATTACTTTTAATATTTACTTTTTAAAATATTTAAAACTTGAAATACAATTTCATTTGTATCAATTTGTAACACGACCTGAACATGGATTTTCTGACTCGAGGCTCTTCTGATGATGAGGCTGAACCCGTATCTGCCGCGTCATCGTTGTAGCAGCTTTAGTTCGTCGTCACGTGGGAGGGTGTCAGAATTACGCTGCAATTTGTTTAAAAAAAAAAAACAAAAACAAACGCCAAATCAATCTAAAAACACTTCGGCGACAAATACAAGGCCACACATCACTGTTAGAGGGTAGAAAGATCTGAAAAGTTGATTTTGCAGGAGATGGGCCCTTTAAAACTTTTGTTGTTTTGCTGTTTGCTTTGGATCAACACAAACATCTCTACTAAACCAAAGATAAAAAGAGCTGTTAACTTGAAACCACTACCACTTCATGACCTCACAAGGTGAAACAGAGCAGTTTTAAACTAATAATGTACAGTTACTCAAACATGTGTAAGTGAAACTAAACACAACTCTATATCTGTTTTTGAGGAGGTCACAGCGTCAGAACACGACTTAAAGCGTAAAATAATCCATGACGTGTAATATTTGACCTTTAAACATTAGATCTGTACGTCTCCATGGACACAGACAAGTTTTACACTGTGGAACATTTTGGCAAAGCAATTAGAAAACCGTGGGAAAAAGTGCTGCTCATCCCCCACGAGAAGAGTTACTGGAACCTTTGACTCGACCTTCAACTTTCAACATTTTCCGCACATTTTTAAACACTTTCACGGCGGGAGAGAGAGCGCAGAACTGTTGGATCGTCTCGAGGTTTGAGTGTTAAGGGAGACGAGGCGTAAAAAACACTCGACCGGGAGCTGCAGCGAGGATAAAAGTCTGATCAGAGTCGCGGCTTTTCCATCCTAACATAGACACGTATTTTGTCATGTTACTAAATGTCGCGATTATGCTGAATTTTGCCTTTTGTCTTATCCTCAAAGTTATTTCGTTTGACGTGTAATTCTGCGTTTGCTTTGGTCGTGGATGGCTGCTCTTGTGGCTGACTGGCTGACACACTGAGCAGTTTTTAAAGGTTGAATTTTTACACTGCAAAAAACTAAATCTAGCCAAGATAAGACGACTTGAATTAAGAAAGTCTGATCATGATTTGAGTCAATTTCACTCGACAAACCAGTGCCTCCACTCAATTTCATTTCTCTCCAGGGACTAGGTCAGGAATCAGAATACACTGGACCACAGGTGTCAAACATACGGCCCTGGAGCCAGATCCGGCCCTCCAAGACCTTTAATCTGGCCCTTGGTTGATTTTCTACTAAAATATTTTAATTATATTTTCTATTAAAATCTTGTTAATTTTCTGCGGTGTTTATCACAGCAGCGTCTCCAGCGTCTCTGTACGTGGCCCCTCCCACCAGAGCAGCACAAATGAAGACTTGTCTCTTTCCAAACGCTCTTAAAGGACGATCGTTTTGACTGTTGACCGTGACACCCTCATCAGAAAAATGTCCAATATGAGAAAAGTGGAGCCGAGTGCAGGATTTTACAACAAAAATTCACTTATTCCTATTTACATACAAGTTCATGTTAAAACATTGTGTTGAAATTGTGTTTTTCTTAAAGTTTCAGGTTGTTCATAATATTATAATATTTTGTAAAAGAAAGAGTTCATCAATTAAAAAAGATTTCTGTAATAAATTTGTGTTTCTCTGCACAAATATTTGAAATTATTGTTATTTTTGGGGTTTATATGACATGAGTTTTCTGATCCGGACACTTTGGGATACAGCCCCCGGAACAAAATGAGTTTGACACCGCTGCACTAGACGGTTCGCAAAATCAGCGAAGAAGTACGAAGTCATGACGTCAAACTCAAGCGCCTAAACTAGTGTGACCATATTTCCATTTGTGAAAACCCGGTGAGGGGTGGGGCCTCGACATTCAGCGACTCTCACCTCTCAACCTGTGCACATGGACTCACACTTGTCAGAGACAGAGAATTTCTTGTACAAGTCATGGTTAAATGTGTATTTGTGTTTCGGCGTGTTGCAGACTGACCGACTGTCTGTGTCTCGCTCCTTCTGATGTACAGACGCTACAAGAGACGCTCAGTTTAATGCCCCCAATGAACGGACATGAAAACCCGGACATTTGCGTCATTTAAAAATCCTATCTAGAAGACAGGAAGTATTTTGTTGAAATTGGAAGCTGTGTCTCAGATCACATGGTCCTGACCTGTGGGGTGCCTCAGGGGTCAATCCTGGGCCCCCTGTTGTTCAATCTCTACATGCTGCCCCCTACAGGCCAGTTAATAAGCAGCAATAACGTGTCCTACCACAATTATGCAGACGACACTCAGATCTACGTCTCTCTGGCAGCAGGAGACTATGGACCAGTGGAGTCACTTGGTCACTGCATCCAACAGATCAGTGTGTGGATGCAAAACAACTTTCTCCAGCTAAACTCTGACAAGACGGAAGTCATAGTGTTTGGTCCACAGAAACAAAGGGACAGTGTCAGCAGTCACCTCCAGTCTCTCTCTCTAAAACCTTCAAATCAGGCAAGAAATCTAGGGGTAATAATGGACTCAGACTTGAACTTTAACAGCCACATCAAATCAATAACATCTGCAGCCTTTTACCATCTAAAAAACAGAGCAAAAATCAAAGGTTTACTGTCTAAATCAGACTTGGAGAAACTTATCCATGCGTTTGTCTCCAGTAGATTAGACACTGTGATGTTCTGCTCACTGGTCTCTCCAAGAGCTGCAGACATCCAGAACATCCAGAACATCCAGAACATCCAGAACGCTTGACTCCACAAGTACGAGTCAGTCCTAGGTCTCTGCTCTGGCTCCTGTAGCTTTAAAGCAAAGTGTCCATCTGTGACATGTTAGTGTCATATGAACATCTCACACTCTGAGGAGCTCAGGGACCAACTCCTGCTGGTGCCAGAGTCACGACTAAAACAAGGGGAGTCAGAGTTTCAGGTTCATGCAGCTAAAACCTGGAACAGTCTGAACATGTGAGACAGACTCTTCTGTGACGCTGTTTAAATCCAGACTCTAAACATTTCTGTTTAACTGTGCAAATAACTGAAAGGTTTTCATTCCGCACTCTTCTCTCCAATTTATGTCTCTCTTTTTTAATTTTAATCTTCATGATTATTTATGTTTTGATTAGTTTTTATTATGATTTTAATGTATTTCTTATTCTGTAAAGCACTTTGTGTACGAGTTGTGCTGTACAAATAAACTTGCCTATTTCCATTTTCCAACAATAAATAAAAAGACCCGTCAGCGCCACCAAACGACTCAAAAATGCATTAGGGAATACGACTGAGGGCAAAAAAAAATTATTAAATTTGACACGGAAGTCGATCATGACAAGAAAAAAATATTATTACACCAATGCCATGCGCTCCACCAGGGGGCAGCAACATCGGATTAAACTTTACTAAGCTTTTACGAACTCCTTTCATTGATAAAAAAAAAAATCTCTAGCATCAGTGCAGGACCGACAGAGACCGTGACGTTTGTTTGTTGTTGTGCGTGTGCGGTGAAATGTGCCTGATGCCCTTCCCTCAGCTGCGTGCATGCAGAGAGCCCACGCCGCTGTCGCTCCAGAGCCCCCCGTCCGGCCGCCGTCTGGGGTGGGGGGGGTAAACGTACCTTTGCGGACGTTGCCGTCGGTGGTGCGCTGGAACTCGCCGGCGCTGAGCAGGAAGCAGGCGCGGTCGTGGGGGTAGCGCTCGCGGCTGGTGTTGGAGCCCAGGCCCCCGGTGGCAGGACTGCGCTCGTCCCCTAACACCTGGTCGATGGTGGGGCAGTCCTCGTTGGCGAGCGCCGCGTTCGCCGCGTCGCCGTTCTGTTTGGAGTCTGCGGGGACAACGAGAGAAGATGTTTAGAAGAATGTAAGAACGGATTTTTATTATTTTAAGAGTCTGTAACGGATCCTGTCATGTAATAAAGTGTTTGTCTGGCCCCAAAACAAGACTAAACCTCGACTAAACCTCGGACTAAACCAGGACTAAATCAGGATGGAACCCAGGACTGAACCGAGGACTAAAACAGGTCTAAACTGGGACTGATCCAGGACTGATCCAGGACTGAACCAGGACTGAATCTCAGACTGAATCCATAACTGAACCAGGACTTAACCCAGGACTGAACCAGGACTAAACCAAGACTAAACTAGGATGAACCAGAACTGAACCAGGACTACAACAGGACCGAACCAGGAATAAACCAGGTCTAAACCAGCACTGAACTAGGATTGAACCAGGACTAAACCCAAGACTGAACCAGAACTGAACCCAGGACTGAACCTAGGACTCAAACAGGTCTAAACCGGGACTGATCCAGGACTGAACCCAGGACTAAACCAGGACTAAATCAGGACTGAACCAGGACTAAACCAGGACTAAACTAGGATGAACCAGAACTGACCCAGGACTAAACCAGGTCTAAACCAGGACTAAATCAGGACTGAACCAGGACTAAACCAGGACTGAACCAGGACTGAACCAGGACTGAACCCAGGCCTAAACCAGAAATAAAACAGGTCTAAAACAGGTCTAAACCAGGACTGAACCAGGACTGAACCAGGACTAAACCAGGACTAAATCAGGACTGAACCAGGACTAAACCAGGACTAAACTAGGATGAACCAGAACTGACCCAGGACTAAAACAGGTCTAAACCAGGACTGAACCCAAGACTGAACCAGAACTGAACCCAGCCCTAAACCAGAAATAAAACAGGTCTAAACCAGGACTGAACCAGGACTAAATCAGGACTGAACCAGGACTAAACTAGGATGAACCAGAACTGACCCAGGATTAAAACAGGTCTAAACCAGGACTGAACCCAAGACTGAACCAGAACTGAACCCAGCCCTAAACCAGAAATAAAACAGGTCTAAACCAGGACTGAACCAGGAATAAACCAGATTTAAACCAGGACTAAACCAGGTATTAAATAGGTCTAAACCAGGACTGAACCAGAACTGAGTGTGAGGACAGGCCCGGAGTTACGTCCACGTGGACTGTCGGGTGATCAGGACTGAGACCGGGATCGGATTGGGATCAGACCAGGCCCAGACCGGGACCAAACCGGGACAAGACCAAGACAAGACAGGGACTGAGACCGATTTAGTCCTGGTTTAGACCTGTTTTAATCCTCATTTAGGACTATTTAAACCTGGTTAAATTGTGGTTTAGACCTGGTTAAGTCCTGGTCCAGTCCCGGTTCAGTCCTGGTCCAGTCCTGGTTTAGTCCTGGTGTAGTCCTGCTTCAGTTCTGGTGTAGTCCTGGCGATCGGCTCTGCAGTTGCGGCGTGTATTTATTTATAATCCACTAATGACACGGCGAAGGTTCAGTCCTGGTTTAGTCCTGGTTTAGTCCTGGTTTAGTCCTGGTCTTTTGGGCTGTTGGACCAATGGGCTGACCCCGATTTATAACGGACGCGGGCGAGTAACGTGTGGGATGTTAACGGGTCCGGGCGGTCTCCAAAAATAGACCCGTGCAGGACACTGACGTAAGAACCGCTGCACAAAAACGTCACAGCGCCTTTAAGTCCTTCTTCAGACTTCGCTGAGGTAAATGAAGGCGCCGTGACCGTAAACTTTAACAGTTGATCGCGTTGAGTCTCGGGGCGGCGGGCGTGTATGGATTTTGTGGTTAGAGAGCGTTGGCGGCGGCGCTCACCACAACGGAACCACTCGCCCACACAAGAAGTGAGTATAAAATATGAATGAATGAAGTGGGAAAGTGAGTGATGTGAGCGGAGAGCTGTAAGACGATATCCTCTGTGGGGCTGCAGCGGACTGGATACACACACACACACACGTACACAATACACACACACATACACACACACACACCTACACAATACACACACACACACACACACACACACCGATACACACACATACACACATACATATATATACACAAACGCAAGCTCTGTGTGGGGAATCCATGTGTCATTCATTCTTTTGTTTTTTTTTTTTGTTTCTTCATTATTTGTCTCCCAAAACAAAAAAAAACAAAACAAAAAACAAAAACAAAAAAAACAGATAATGATTCGTTTTTTCAGTTTTTGATTTTGTGTTTAAATGAAAAATAGAAAAAACTGATAATGGACTGAAACAGGACTAAACCAGGACTAAATCCAGGTCCGGGACCAGACCGGAACCAGGCCAGGACTGAGACCGTGATTCAGACCGAGATTGAGACCATGACTGAGACCAGGACTGAGACCAGGACCAAATCAGGACTGAGACCGGGACCGGACCGGGACTGAGACCAGGACGAGGACCAGGACTGAGATTGGGAATGAGACCAGGACCAGACTGTGATTCAGACTGGGACCAGACCGGGACAGAAACTGGGAGCAGGCCAGGACTGAGACTGGGACCAGTTGTGTGTTGGTGTGGTGTGTGTCAGTAGTTGCGTGTCAGTGGTTGCGTGACAGTAGTTCTGTATCAGTAGTTTTGTGTCAGTAGTTTTGTGTCAGTAGTTGTGTATCAGTAGTTTTGTGTCAGTAGTTGTGTATCAGTAGTTTTGTGTCAGTAGTTTTGTATCAGTAGTTGCGTGTCAGTAGTTTTGTGTCAGTGGTTTTGTGTCAGTGGTTTTGTGTCAGTGGTTGTGTGTTGGTCCGGTCTCCTGATGAACATGTGTGGATTAGTAATGCACAGAGCGTCAGGGTCAGAGCGTCAGGTGCAGAGCGTCAGGTGCAGACTGTCAGGTGCAGAGCGTCAGGTGCAGACTGTCAGGTGCAGAGCGTCAGGTGCAGACTGTCAGGGTCAGAGCGTCAGGTGCAGACTGTCAGGGTCAGAGCGTCAGGGTCAGAGCGTCAGGTGCAGACTGTCAGGGTCAGAGCGTCAGGGTCAGAGCGTCAGGTGCAGAGCGTCAGGTGCAGACTGTCAGGTGCAGAGCGTCAGGTGTCAGAGCGTCAGGTGCAGACTGTCAGGCAGAGGTCAGGTGCAGAGCGTCAGGTGCAGGACTGTCAGGGTCAGAGCGTCAGGGTCAGAGCGTCAGGTGCAGACAGACTGTCAGGTGCAGACTGTCAGGGTCAGGCGTCAGAGTGCAGGAGCTGTCAGGTGCAGACTGTCAGGGTCAGAGCGTCAGGTGCAGAGCTGTCAGGTGCAGACTGTCAGGGTCAGAGCGTCAGGTGCAGAGCGTCAGGTGCAGACTGTCAGGTGCAGAGCGTCAGGTGCAGACTGTCAGGTGCAGACTGTCAGGTGCAGACTGTCAGGTGCAGACTGTCAGGGTCAGAGAGCGTCAGGTGCAGAGCGTCAGGTGCAGACTGTCAGGTGCAGACTGTCAGGTGCAGACTGTCAGGTGCAGAGCGTCAGGTGCAGACTGTCAGGTGCAGAGCTGTCAGGTGCAGACTGTCAGGGTCAGAGCGTCAGGTGCAGACTGTCAGGTGCAGACTGTCAGGGTCAGAGAGCAGTCAGGTGCAGAGCAGTCAGGTGCAGACTGTCAGACTGTCAGGTGCAGACTGTCAGGTGCAGACTGTCAGGTGCAGACTGTCAGGTGCAGACTCCAGGCTGACAGGTCACACTCCCTGTTTTGTTTTCTTCATCCGTTTCGTGCTTGTAAATCCAGGTGTATTTTAGTGCAACGCTCCAAAAAGAACCCGGAGCTCAGCAGGTTATTTACGGCCTCGTCTCCGCGGCGACTGCACGCGCTCAGATCTGCTCCCCGTTTCAGCGGCGGCGAAACGGGGAGAACGTCCGCAGATTTATGGACCCACTCCGGGACTGTGCTGCGCGGGCATTTCTTTAACTAATTTGGTCTTTTCATAAGCAGAAGTTTGAAACGATCACCGGTCCGAGCAGCTTCTAAACACAAACCCGAAAAACGACTGGAAAAATGCGATGACGACTTCCGGCAGGTTCTGTTCTCGGAAAAATAAGAAAATGTCCCAGTTTTTGTCATTTAAATGTCACTGTAGAGTTTCATTATGTTCGGTTAATCGTTATCAGTGTTGGGAGTAACGTGTTTAGTCTTAGTCCTGGTTTAGTCCTGGTTCAGTTCTCGTTTAGACCTGGTTTAATCCTGATTCAAGTCCTAGTTCAGTCCTGGTTGAGTCCTGGTTCAGTGCTGGTTTAGACCTGGTTTAGTCCTGGTTCAGTTCTGGTTTAGTCTTAGTTTAGTCCTGGTCCAGTCCTTGGTTAAGTCCTAGTTCAGTTCTCGCTTAGACCTGGTTTAGTCTTAGTTCAGTCCTGGTTTAGTCCTGGTTCAGTTCTGGTTTAGTCTTAGTTTAGTCCTGGTCCAGTCCTTGGTTAAGTCCTGGTTTAGTCCTAGTTCAGTTCTCGCTTAGACCTGGTTTAGTCTTAGTTTAGTCCTGGTCCAGTCCTTGGTTAAGTCCTGGTTTAGTCCTAGTTCAGTTCTCGCTTAGACCTGGTTTAGTCTTAGTTTAGTCCTGGTTTAGGCCTGGTTCAATCCTGGCTGAGTCCTCAGTTCAGTCTTGGTTTAGACCTGGTTGAGCCCTGGTTCAGTTCTCGCTTAGACCTGGTTTAGTCCTTGTTCAGTTCTGGTTTAGACCTGGTGTAGACCTGGTTTAGTCCTGGTTTAGTCTTAGTTTAGTCCTGGTTCACTTCCAGTTTAGATCTGGTTCAGCTCTGATTTAGTCCTGGTTCAGTTCTGGTTTAGTCCTAGTTTAGTCCTGGTTCAGTTCTGGTTCAGTCCTGGTTCAGTCCTGGTTCAGTTCTGGTTCAGTCCTGGTTCAGTTCTGGTTCAGTCCTGGTTCAGTTCTGGTTCAGTCCTGGTTCAGTTCTGGTTCAGTCTGGTTCAGTCCTGGTTCAGTTCTGGTTCAGTCCTGGTTTAGTTTTTGGTTTTGTCAGTAAACATTCTTTCTGGCAGTAAAAGTGATTCTTAACGTTGACAATGTGACATCCAGAGTTTAAAAAAAAAAAAGGTTCAAAACTTGTCTGGACCTGGTTTAAGGTGAAGGTGTTTCAGATCTTTTGGATGGAGCTTGAAGGACCTCGTGTAGACGCTCACTTCTGAAACCTTTGTCACTGCGGAACATTCCTGTGTGAAAGTGAAACGACGTCTTCACTGCACCGCGTGGGCTCAGAAACTCACCTGCCCTGTTGATCTCGATGATCTCCTCCTGGGCCAGCGGACAGTCTCCGGTGCCCATCATGCTCCCGGACCCCACCATGCCGGGCCCCAGCACGTTACCCATGAGCCTGTGCGGCGAGGCGGTCGCCATGGCGAGGGCGTCGGGCTTGCAGTAGTTGGGGCTCCCCGGCTGCGGCGCTCGCGGGATGTGCTTGTTCCTCTTCTTGGGGAGCTTCTGCTTGGCCATGGCCAGGGAGTAGTACATGCCGAAGTTGTTGACGATGACGGGCACAGGCATGGCGATGGTCAGCACGCCGGCCAAAGCGCACAGGGCCCCCACCAGCATCCCCGACCACGTCTCCGGGTACATGTCCCCGTACCCCAGCGTCGTCATGGTGACCACGGCCCACCAGAAGCCGATGGGGATGTTCTTGAAGTTGGTGTGACGGGCCGCCGTGGGGTCGTCCGGGTCGGCCCCGATGCGCTCGGCGTAGTAGATCATGGTGGCGAAGATGAGCACGCCCAGGGCCAAGAAGATGATGAGCAGGAGGAACTCGTTGGTGCTCGCCCGCAAGGTGTGCCCGAGCACCCGCAGACCCACGAAGTGCCGGGTGAGCTTGAAGATCCGGAGAATACGCACGAACCGGACCACGCGCAGGAAGCTGAGCACGTCTTTGGCGGTTTTGGAGGACAGGCCGCTCAGAGCCACCTCCAGGTAGAAGGGCACGATGGCCACAAAGTCTATGATGTTGAGCGCGCTGCGGAAGAACTCGGCCTTGTCCGGGCAGAAGACCACGCGGGCCATGACCTCGATGGTGAACCAGATCACGCACACGCCCTCCACGTACGTGAGCCAGGTGTCAGTCACCACCTCGTACACGATCTGAAACACACAGCAGCTCTGATCAGGGAAACATCTGGAAGATCAAGGTGCACCACAGGATGATCCACAGTCTGATTTTAAACTTCGCTCCACCAGGCAAAGTGAATCTGTGTGACATTTGTTCATTCGTTTTTCAATATAAAACCAAAAATAAGAAAATGAAAAACCAACTATTTTCTTCATTATTTGTCTCCAAAACCAAAATGAAAAAACAGATAATGATTTGAGTTTTTTCAGTTTTCAATTTTGTGTTTAAATGAAAAATGGAAAAAAACGGTTGTGTGACTTAAACTGAGATGCCGGACTGAACCAAGACTGAACCAGGACTAAACCATTTTCAGTCCTGGTCTGGTCCCAGTCTCAGTCATGATCTCATTCCTGGTCTGGTCCTGGTCTGGTCTCGGCCTCAGTCCTAGTCTCAGTCCTGGTCTGGTCCAGATTTCAGTCCTGGTCCCGGACTCAGTCCCAGTCTGGTCCAGATCTAAGTCCTGGTCTCAGTCCCGGTCTGGTTCTGGTCTGGTCCCAGAGCTGGTTTAGTCCTGGTTCAGTCCTGGTTTAGTCCTGGTTTAGTCCTGGTTCAGTCCTGGTTCAGTCCTGGTTCAGTCCTGGTTCAGTCCTGGTTCAGTCCTGGTTCAGTCCTGGTTCAGTCCTGGTTAGTCCTGGTTCAGTCCTGGTTCAGTCCTGGTTTAGTCCTGGTTCAGTCCTGGTTCAGTCCTGGTTCAGTCCTGGTTCAGTCCTGGTTAGTCCTGGTTCAGTCCTGGTTCAGTCCTGGTTTAGTCCTGGTTCAGTCCTGGTTCAGTCCTGGTTCAGTCCTGGTTCAGTCCTGGTTCAGTCCTGGTTCAGTCCTGGTTGGGTCCTGGTTCAGTCCTGGTTCAGTCCTGGTTCAGTCCTGGTTTAGTCCTGGTTCAGTCCTGGTTTAGTCCTGGTTCAGTCCTGGTTTAGTCCTGGTTTAGTCCTGGTTCAGTCCGGCATCGCAGTTTAAGTCACATAAACGTTATCTGTTTTTTCCATTATTCATTTAAACCCAAAAATGAAAAACTGAAAAAACAAATCGTTATCTGTTTTTTTGTTGTTGTTGTTTTTTTTCATTTTGGTTTTGGAGACAAATAGCTGTTTTTTTGTTTTCTTTTTTTTTTTTTTTTTCATATATATTGAAAAATTAATGAACAAATGACACACAGATTCATGATCCTCCCATTTCAGTTCACAACAACTACTACAAAATCATTTTAAAATCTTAATTCTTTCTATTGCTACTGTAATGATTCACACTAAGATCCTGTCAAAACTTTTAAAAAGGAACAAGGAACTGTTACATAACACACTTGTATATAAATGTACCATGACTTTTTTAATTACAATTTAGTTTAAAAATCATAGAAACTGCAAAAAAATCATTTATATGTGGTACTTTAGTTTAAAGACTTGAAAGACATGGACTTGACTTGGATTTATGGGCCAGTGGCTCGAGACTCGACTTGGACTTGCCTGTGTTTGACTTCGGACTTGAGGTCAAAGACTTGAGACTTGCAAAACGACGACTTGGTTCCACCTCTGCCCGGTAATAACCTGCATCTGACTCTTTGGGGTCGTTAGTCCAGCCCGAAAATTAAAATGTCCTGACTGTAGTTGATCTAAAGAGGCCGTTACAGACATGATTTTTTAAAGGTTGTATGGAGGATTTTTTTTTGTTTCAAATTGTCAGTGATAGATTATAGATGCAGTCGCCTTGTAATTATGATGACCAAAAAAAAGAGAATAAAAATTCATCAACTCTGGACGTGGTGGGGCTAAACATTTGCCAATAGATAACGACACTGCCTCGTTATCTGTGAGCTGACAGGCTGTCAATCAAACTCCCTACGTTTCTAGTGTAACTGACTTGCCTGCGCCGCCGGTACGTGGTTTACGTACGACTGTCACACAGTCCACAGACGCAAGACGCACAGACGCTGTTTACTCCACCAACGCAACGGTTCTTAGCGGCTTTTTTGACCTATATCTTCCTCGCAGTTCGCACAAAGTTTGTTGCGATGGCGACAAGAATCCAGGAGCAGTTCGCCGCAAAAGAAAGTCCGTTTTTGAGGTGAAAGAAGAAGACAAGGGGAAAAGCAGCGAAGCCAAACTAAGGTGATTCTTGAAAATCCGTGTATCATTCGTTCATTCGTTTTTCAATATAAAACCAAAAATAAGAAAACGAAAAAACAACAGTTTTCTTCGTTATTTGTCTCCAAAACCAAAATGAAAAAACGGATAACGATTCGTTTTTTCAGTTTTCGATTTTGTGTTTAAATGAAGAAAGGAAAAAATGGATAACGGCCGTTTCCCGTTTACGTGACTTCAGTGACTGCGATGCCGAACTTTTGCACCGGGTACGGACTGAACCAGGACTGATCCAGGTCCGAGACCAGACTGAGACCAGAGCGGGACTGAGACCGGGACCAGACCGGGACCAGACCGGGACCAGACCGGGACCAGAGCGGGACCAGACCGGGACCAGAGCGGGACTGAGACCGGGACCAGGGCGGACTCCGAGCTTTGACTCCGGGCCTCCACGGGGTCCGAGCCTCAGCTTCGAGCTCCGGCCCTGCCGTGGGCTCTGAGCCTCCGGTCTGGTCCCGGTCTGGTTCTGGTCTTGTCTCGGTCTCGGTCTCAGGCCCGCTCTGGTCCCGGTCTGGTCCCGGTCTCAGTCCCGCTCTGGTCTCGGACCTGGATCAGTCCTGGTTCAGTCCGTACCCGGTGCAAAAGTTCGGCATCGCAGTCACTGAAGTCACATAAACGGGAAACGGCCGTTATCCATTTTTTCCATTCTTCATTTAAACACAAAATCGAAAACTGAAAAAACGAATCGTTATCCGTTTTTTCATTTTGGTTTTGGAGACAAATAACGAAGAAAACTGTTGTTTTTTCGTTTTCTTATTTTTGGTTTTATATTGAAAAACGAATGAACGAATGATACACGGATTCTTGGAGATTCATTCCAGCGATGGCGCAACTGAAGCAGACGAAGGGTCTAAAGACTGAACCACTGGTCCACAAATTACTCCTGGACAGGAAACTTCTGCTTATTATGAAAACGTACTTTATTTCCAAGAGCGAGACAAACGTTTTTCAGGACACGAATGCGATATCCTATGTCTGAAAACGTAATTTTCAAGGCAAAGAAAGAGTCCGCTTGCTGCTGCGTGTTGTAGCTAGTTCATTCGCACGGAATCTCCGCGCAACCTTCTCTGCACCCCTTTCCTGCTCCTGTCCCCACTGCCTGTTCCGCTCTTCCCCCTGCTCCTCATGGAATCTCCGCGCACGAAATGTCCGCACACCCCTCCCCCCGCTCCTCACTTCTCCGTCTTGCCTAACCAACACTGTAGTTAGTTGTTTACAAGTCATGTGCAGCACCGGCTGTAAACAAACCTGTTTGTGGCGTAAAGAGGAGGAGGGAGGAGGTGTTTCTACGTAGGAGCTGTAGGGGAGGGGAGGTGGTTTCACGCATGCGCAACATTTGAAAAAGGACAAACCGTCGCTGGATTTCTCGTTCCTTGGAAAATCCTCTATACAACCTTTAACAAATATGCTCTAAAATGCCAAAATAAAGCCAGGGAGAGGTTTATATTTCTATTTTAGACCCATTTACACAGAGAATCAGTTGAAAAAAGTGAGTTTGGTTGGTGTTTGTGTTTGAGCCCGTACCTCCTCGCGGGTGACGTTTCCCACCGTCACGTTTTCCGTCTTGTTGTAGATGGTGTTGAAGACTTCGTGCGTCTCCAGGCAGAAGGTGGAGATGGAGAGGAGGATGAAGAAGAGCGAAGCGAAGGCCACATACTGCACACAAAGAGAGAGAGAGAAAGAGAACAAAAACAAACGGTCACTTTCAACTTTTCAAACGCGAGACCGAAGGGTTCACGACGTCGCGCAGTGTTCTGATCTCTGTCGTAAAGTCGTTTTCTCGTCACGAACGGACCTGGAGTCGTGTTTCGTTTCGCTCACACGAGTCCGTGCATCTTCATTTCGACCACATCAGACCTGGAATCACCCCCATCTCTACTGAACCAACACTAAAAAAAGGAGATGTTCACTTGAAAACGACCGCTTCATGACATCACGAGGTGGAACAGAGCGTTTAGAGTCCTGCACCAGGTCGGGTTTGAACGTTCTGGAATTTTATGGGCGGGTTTAGTCCTGGTTTAGTCCTGGTTTAGTCCTGGTTTAGACCGGTTTAGTCCTGTTTTAGTCCTGGTTTAGTTCTGTTTTAGTTCTGGTTTATTCTGGGTCCAGTCCTGTTTTAGTCTTGTTTCAGTCCTAGTTTAGTCTTGTTTTAGTTCTGGTTTAGTCAAGGTTTAGTCCTGGTTCAGTCCTGGTTTATTCTGGGTTCAGTCCTGGTTTAGACCTGTTTTAGTCCTGGTTTAGTTCTGGTTCAATCCTGGTTTAGTCTTGTTTTAGTCCTAGTTTAGTCTTGTTTTAGTCCTGGTTTAGTCCTGGTTTAGTCCTGGTTTAGACCTGGTTTAGACCTGGTTTAGACCTGGTTTAGTCCTGGTTTAGTCCTGGTTTAGACCTGGTTTAGTCCTGGTTTAGACCTGGTTTAGACCTGGTTTAGACCTGGTTTAGTCCTGGTTTAGTCCTGGTTTAGACCTGGTTTAGACCTGGTTTAGACCTGGTTTAGTCCTGGTTTAGACCTGGTTTAGGGTTTAGACCTGGTTTAGACCTGGTTTAGTCCTGGTTTAGACCTGGTTTAGACCTGTTTTAGTCCTGGTTTAGTTCTGGTTCAATCCTGTTTTAGTCTTGTTTCAGGCCTAGTTTAGTCCTGGTTTAGTCCTGGTTTAGACCTGGTTTAGTTCTGGTTCAGTCCTGGTTCAGTCCTCGTTTAGTCCATTATCCGTTTTTTTCCATTTTTCATTTAAACACAAAATCGAAAACTGAAAAAACAAATCATTATCGTTTTTTCATTTTGGTTTTGGAGACAAATAATGAAGAAAATCATATTTTTTTTCCTTTTTCTTATTTTTGAAAAACAAATGAACAAATGACACACGGATTTTGTGTTTTTGGGCAAGACACTTAACCCGCCTCGCGTGAGTGGTTCATGATGTAAAACGCCTTGAGGTTGGAAAAGCGCAGTGTATAAAAATGTGATAATTTACTGAGTTCTGAAACATGATTCTTGTATTTGTTTTTGTATAAATGTTTGTCAGAAAAATCACACTTTAATCACGTTTATCTCACATCATCTTATTGAATGAAACATGTTATTATATTGTGAAAGGGGAACAATATGACACAATCACACTGTTTATTTTCACCCAGTGCAGTGTGACGGACGAGTGTTAATGAAACCAAACAACTCAGGTTTAGGTAAAACTTCACACTGAGGCAGACCTACAGATTATTTACAAAAACAAACAAAAAAACATTATTAGTACATGAGTGTTTTTCTGTTTGTGAGAAGCACTCAGCCTAAATGTGCAGGTTTATGTGTAAAACGTGAATGAAACAAAACACAACTCCAGGTATAAAAAGACTTTGCTCCAGACTGATGTGTGTTAATATTTAGTCTCATAAACACAGTGAAAACTAAGATAAAGACAGATAGAGAAAATGTCTCAGCTTTATGTACAATATCTTTAAATAAATAGAGAATAGAAATAGAGAATGTTATTTTATATATATATATTTTAAACCAGGGCTGTCAAACTGAAATTCACATTGGGCCAAAAAATGTAAAACTGGGAAAAAATTTAATTAAAAACTGGGACTAAGTCATGGGCCAAACTAAATATTTATTGAAAAATTTCATCAATATCTGCATGTTTTTTCTTCTTTCAAGATCTGTAATGTTTAACCTTTTCTGATTAAAATAAATGTTTAATAATCGTTTTGCTTAAACATTGAATCCATATAATAATAATAAATATTATCGATCTGTAGCCAGTGGGCAGCTCTAATACAGATTTGATATGAACTCATGGGCCAAATATAATTATATTACTGGCCAAATTTGGCCCCTGGGCCTGAGTTTGACTTGTCTTTTATGTTTTTAAACAATGAAAAACTGTCACTGAAGCAGCAATAAAAGGATCCACAAGTCGACTGTTTGGACTTTAAACATAGAACATTTTTGAACCAGAAATATTAGAACAAAATAGTCACTGACTCCCACCCAGACTCAAACCTGAACTAAACCTGGACTGGATCAGAACTAAACCTGGACTAGATCAGAACTAAGATCAGAACTAAACCTGGACTAGATCAGGACTAAACCTGGACTAGATCAGAACTAAACCTGGACTAGATCAGAACTAAGATCAGAACTAAACCTGGACTAGATCAGAACTAAGATCAGAACTAAACCTGGACTAGATCAGAACTAAACCTGGACTAGATCAGGACTAAACCTGGACTAGAACTAAACCTGGACTAGATCAGAACTAAACCTGGACTAGATCAGAACTAAACCTGGACTAGATCAGAACTAAACCTGGACTAGATCAGGACTAAACCTGGACTAGATCAGAACTAAGATCAGAACTAAACCTGGACTAGATCAGAACTAAGATCAGAACTAAACCTGGACTAAACCTGGACAAAATCAGAACTAAGATCAGGACTAAACCAAGACTAGACCAGGACTAAACATGGACAAGATCAGAACTAAACCTGGACTAGATCAGAACTAAACTTTCACTAGATCAGGACTAAACCTGGACTGGATCAGGATTAAACCTGGACTGGATCAGAACTAAACCTGGACTGGATCAGGATTAAACCTGGACTGGATCAGGACTAAACCTGGACTGGATCAGGATTAAACCTGGACTGGATCAGGATTAAACCTGGACTGGATCAGGACTGGATCAGGATTAAACCTGGACTGGATCAGGACTAAACCTGGACTGGATCAGGATTAAACCTGGACTGGATCAGAACTAAACCTGGACTGGATCAGGACTAAACCTGGACTGGATCAGAACTAAACTGGACTGGATCAGGACTAAACCTGGACTGGATCAGAACTAAACCTGGACTGGATCAGGACTAAACCTGGACTGGATCAGGACTAAACCTGGACTGGATCAGGACTAAACCTGGACTGGATCAGGACTAAACCTGGACTGGATCAGGATTAAACCTGGACTGGATCAGGACTAAACCTGGACTGGATCAGGACTAAACCTGGACTGGATCAGGACTAAACCTGGACTGGATCAGGATTAAACCTGGACTGGATCAGGACTAAACCTGGACTGGATCAGGACTAAGCCTTGTTCTCCAGTGGTGTTTCCGGCCGCTGCAGACAGGGGGCGCCTCTGTCCCACTGAAGGAAACGCACCGATAATAAACCCAATATCCTGAGTGCTGCAACGGGAGGAACAGGACGCCTATATATGGTCGAGGGGGGAGGGGGGTGATGGATGGACAGTGTAAACGTGTGTGTGTGTGTGTGTGTGTGTGTGTGTGTGTGTGTGTGTGTGTGTGTGTGTGTGTGTGTGTGTGTGTCATTCCTTCACATATTTCTGAGCGGAGGATCAATGATGATTGGTGCTTGGTCGGGGTTGCCTTGACGATGGCGGCTTTACGGACCGTGTCATGCTCGCCGTTATTTTTTTTACGGCGCTCACGTGTGCGTAATGGGCAACGCCGGCACCCGACACCCCCCCCCCCCCCCCGAGCACCCCCACACCCCCCCCCACCCCCCCCTCCTCCTCCTGACAGCACCTCGGCTTTTATGCGGAGAGACTGCGGGGAAACACCGAGCTCAGATCTAGTCCAGGTTTATTTCCGATTAGTCCAAGTTTAGTTCTGATATAGTCCAGGTTTAGTTCTGATCTAGTCCAGGTTTATTTCCGATATAGTCCAAGTTTAGTTCTGATATAGTCCAGGTCTAGTCCAGGTTTAGTTCTGATCTAGTTCAAGTTTAGTTCTGATTTAGTCCAGGTTTAGTCCAGATTTAGCTTTGATCTAGTCCAGGTTTAGTTCTGATATAGGTCAAGTTCAGCTCAGATCTAGTCCAGGTTTAGTTCCAGGTTTAGTTCTGAGATAGTCCAGGTTTAGCTCTGATCTAGTCCAGGTTTAGTTCTGATCCAGTCCAGGTTTAGTTCTGATCCAGTCCAGGTTTAGTCCAGGTTTAGTTCTAATCTAGTCCAGGTTTAGTTCTGATCTAGTCCAGGTTTAGTTCCAGGTTTAGTTCTGAGATAGTCCAGGTTTAGCTCTGAATCTAGTCCAGGTTTAGTTCCAGGTTTAGTTCTGATCTAGTCCAGGTTTTAGTTCTGATCTAGTTCAAGTTTAGTTCAGGTTCAGATCAGATCTAGTCCAGGTTTAGTTCAGGTTTAGTTCTGATCTAGTCTAGGTTTAGTCCAGGTTTAGTTCTGATCTAGTCCAAGGTTTAGCTCCAATTTTAGTTCTGATCTAGTCTAAGTTTACTTCTGATCTTAGTTCTGATCTAGTCCAGGTTTAGTTCTGTAATAGTCCAGGTTTAGTGCTGAGATAGTCCAAGTTTATTTCCGAGATAGTCCAGGTTTAGTTCTGATCTAGTCCAGGTTTAGTTCTGATCTAGTCCAGGTTTAGTTCCAGGTTTAGTTCTGATCTAGTCCAGGTTTAGTTTTGATCTAGTCCAGGTTTAGTTCCAGGTTTAGTTCTGAGATAGTCCAGGTTTAGCTCTGATCTAGTCCAGGTTTAGTTCCAGGTTTAGTTCTGAGATAGTCCAGGTTTAGTTCTGATCTAGTCCAGGTTTAGTTCCAGGTTTAGCTCTGATCTAGTCCAGGTTTAGTTCCAGGTTTAGTTTCTGAGATAGTCCAGGTTTAGTTCTGATTTAGTCCAGGTTTAGTTCT